CGTAACAATATAACACGTTCATTGTTCAAATAAGCGTTCTTTTTTTTTTTTTCACATTTCCAGCTCGTGGTGTGCCGTGAGATGTTTTCAACGAAAGAAGTGTGCCCTGGCTCAAAAAAGTTTGAAAAGCACTGAATTAGAAAGACGCAAACGGCCGTGCCTCGCGATGTGATTCGACTGAGCTCAAAAGCGTCAAATCAAAAACCGCCTGAAAATAAAGAAAACTGGGAAACCTGGTTCCTGGCTGAATTGCCTTCTTATTCTTTTTTCACCTGGCCTGCTGTTTTGCCGCATAACACGAGAATTCAACAATTTGAGCGTCTGAATCAATTCACGCTGAAGGCGTCACTTGGCCACCTGGAGGCACTCTCATCGGTCATGAAGACACAAAAACCTTTGCAACTTACTGCAAGTGTAAAGGGTATCGACCCCCACCCAGAGGATGAAGAATACGTCTGCGAGTATTGTTTCTACCGTATCGCCTGATTTACTTTCCAGGGTCTTGAAATCTTGAGAGAAGGAAATCAAGAGCCATTTATCGCTCTGATGAGCAGAAGCCCCGAAATACCTCATCAGGGATGCTAATCAGATGTCTCACCCTGGGGGGAGGAGGGGAAAAATATGAAATTGACACACAGCCAGCTTCTCTTATTACCTCCACAAATTAAGACTCACCAGAGCACTCAATCGACACGTTCATTCGCTGACACGCTGCGCTCGCTTTGCCAAACGCTCGCTCTCAGGTCGAGAACTTCGACACAAGTCATCGAAACCTTGAAATTGGGATCAACCTTGCTTTTGCGGAGCCCAAACCGGGGGCTGTGAAATTTCCGTGGATTCTGTTATGAAAAATAGGATTCTCACAAAACCTCAATTTTGACATTAAAACTCATTCAGGAGCAGCCAATTCTAGACCAAGGCTGAAAAGACGTTTAAAAACGTCTTTGGGAGTGAATGAGTTAAAAGAGGGCAGGGGGAAGGGGGAGGAGTCTATTTGGCTTGAATAGCCTTGCGCGGCGACCGCGCCTCCGACGCCGCGGCTCGATACATCCGGACACGGCAAGTTTTACGCCAGCCGAGCGTCGAACATGTTTTTGACCGCAACTCGGCAACAACTTAACGCGGGATAAAAATACCGTGACCTGGCACCGCGTACGTGAATTTTACCGACTAACGACATTGCCGTACTTGCTATATTTATGACATTGCGCCATCTTGTGTCTTTCCTGTCTCGGTATTCGCTTTGAAACACGTGTTCAGAAAAAAAAAAAAAACAACACTGCCAGTAGTCAAGGTTCGATGACGAGAATATGAGAGAATGTCTGTCGCAAGAAGGGAGATTGTGCAACGGGAAGCCGGTGAGAAAGACAACGTGAAAAAAAAGAAAAAAAAATCGCCAAGGAAAATGGCATCCAAAACCCAATCGGCGCCCCAAATGCGGCTGCCGCGTTAGCCGAGCAGTCGCTTGTACAGCTAGCCGCCTAGCTTGACGACAAACGGCAGCACGATGGATCTTTTTTTTTGAACAACTTGAGATATGAGCGCCGAATGGCAGGCGTGAACTCAACTCAGCTCAGCCCACTTCACAACAAGCTCAACGATTCTTCAAAAAGAGGCTCCAAGTGGATGAATGACATTTTGTTCCATGGCAAAGAGGAAAAAGAGGATTTGAGATGAGTGTGATGACGTACGAGCAAATACACTTGTTTCAAATGTCAAGGCATCGCTGTCTATGTGTTATTTATTTCTTTATTTATTTTTTGGAAGTATCAATGCATCACTCTGCGTCTTTTAGTCAAATTGATAGGATTGCCCCACCCCCCTCCCCTGCAGAATTTACGCACCTTGCACATTATCGCGGTGAGGAAAAACCTTTTGCAGCTCTCGTTTCCAAAATGTAGGCGCCGCGTTCGCCGGGGCGTAGCTAGCG